AACTACGGTAATGTACCTAAGCTGCCATGATGCGGAAGATAAGACGATATGGTTGAAGGAGAAATATGGTGAATACACCACCAAGTTACATTATTATGCAGCTCAGGAGAGCCTAAATCAACCCCATATTAAGAGCTCTCTGAACTGGACCACTGATATATGGGCTCTGCAAACAGCACCAAAGGTTAGAACCTTTCTCTGGCGTGTAGCAAGTGGGGCACTAGCTGTGGGTGAAAGGCTAGCCTAGAGGATCACAGACTCAAACATCCGATGCCCTAGATGTGGTGGTAATGAATCCAAGCCCGGCCCTAGATGTGGTGGTAATGAATCCAAACCCGGCCCAATAAGGTGGAAAAATCCTTATGCACAGGGCCCATTATGGATCTCACAATTTTAACTAATTTTTTTTTTTGCAAAAAAGTCCTCAATTTATCTCTAGTAGACTGTCAGATCGTACAACCAAGTGAATTACCGGGTAGAACTTACTTCCTTGGAGCGGTAGGTCTACCGTAGCTCTATTTCCAAGGTTTAATGATCAGTTAGTCTTTCTACCTTTCGGCTTCCTAGACTAACTTCTCATTCGGCCCAAGGTAGCTCCCTTGGTAGGGTATAGCTTAGCCAAGACTCACTTTGTAAACAATCCTAAGGATATGAATGCGAGTTGATCTCCAACTGTGATCCGCCCATACGAACCACAACCTTCCTTCAACCCACCAAGCAATGAGTCACCCTTGAACTGCCAAGGCCGACCAAGTTTCCTCGAGACTATGGTTAAATTCTATGCCCGGAGCTCACAGCGCATGTATCCTGCTCCATAGCCCAACGTGAATAGACTAAGTATCCTGTCAGGGTTCCCAACCTTGCCAAGCTCCTTGCCTGCCTTCACCTACGAGTCCTTAGTTGGATCCTCTCTGACCCAACCGGATGCTCTGCCACTGCACCGTCGGTCAAGCCTTGGCTTGCGTCTGGTCTTGTGTCATTTTCTGACGATGTGCCTGCCGATACTCTATCTAGGCACCATCGCTCTATTCACCAAGGCTCCACCGTGGCGCTATCGATTACTATATCGATTTCCTTGCGGCACGAGGATTCACCGTGCCGCAGCATGATGCCCTCTTTGGCGCAGCCCTAAGCCGCTCTTCATGGTGCGGTCACGCTGCCTATCGTGGTGTGGTACATTAACCGTACTAGTGCTTTGTCAAGGATAATCGAGGCACTCCGAGGCCATCCCGGTACCCATCGAGACATAGCACGACTGTTTGGATTAAGACTCTCATCGAGGCATCCCGATGCCTTACCGATGCTCTTTTTCCACCAATAAGGCCTTATACATCCAGGCCGGTGGCCTAACTATATGCGGCAACCCTTTGTGGCCATACCGCAGCTCCTCGCCGTCCATGAGACACTCTCATGCTTGACCGTAGTCAAGTGGAATACTGCCACTACTCTACTCTTGCCGAGTCTCTAGTCTAGATCCCATATCCTAACCGAGCTTCCTCGACTACTACTCATGACTACCTAAACACCCTATGAAAGCAATATAGAAAAGACTAGAAAGGAAAGTTAGGTACGGATCGCGCCTTACCTCAACCGTGAACCTTCCCTACCGCGGGGATGGGGTGCTGAATTCCTTCTCAAGCTCCTCTGATTTTTCCTTCCTAAGCGTTTACCTTTGGCTTTGGAAGAAAAGAATGATTTTAGTGTGTAAAATATGATCTCCCTAGCTTCCTATATATACCCTACGAAAATTCTCCTAGAGAATATTCACGTTCCTTATTTTTCTCCACCTCCTTACTACACGGGCAAAGCCCACTAGCCTCCCTTCTTCACCACGTTTTTCTCTTCTTTCTTAAAGGAAAATTAGGGTTTTCTTTCCCCTTATAATTGTAGGAGGCCCGTTTACCTTTTCGCGGACCGGTTCATAGGTTTCCATTGTCTAAAGACCATTTTCTCTCTCCTACAACATTTTCTGAACCTGTGTAAATTATTCTAAGTTCCTAAATATCTTATACCTGGTTCTGGGATGTTACACTTAGCAAGTCTACTTGTTTTCTTTAACAAACTATAAGAAGAGTTTGCGCAAATTCTGCTCGTGTTTAAGGGTAACGCTAGTATTTTGAAAAAGTGCTACAATTTTTCCTATGTACTATTTTTTTTATATTAGTTTTCATTTTTGTACTACTTTGGACAATTTCCACTAATTTAAATTAGTGTTGAAATTAAAGATGCTGAAATTTAATGTTATGCTTTTAATTTGGAATGCATATTATGAATGACAAATAGATGGTAGTATTGGCAAATAAACTAAATTAGGGTTGGCAAGTAGATTAGGAATGACTTATTTATGTTAGGATTGACATTAACGATGTTAGAATTTCATAGCAGGCTTCAAATCTGAATTGTAGATTAGGATTGGCAGAACTACTTGTAATTAATACATTTTTTTTCTTTAACATTCATGGTGTTAACTATCAACAAAATTTGCAACAGTGACTCTTTTTTTGTTCTTTGTCTTTTAGATGATTTTTTCAAGCAGTGGGCACACTAAAACAAATGATTTCAGAGAAGTTTCTCGTGAGTTTAAAGCGTGATTTGTCAAGAAAAATTAACATCATGATGGTCATGTTGCTGTCCTAGTTCAAGCCTTGGTGGGAAAAATGTTTTATGGCATGTTATAAGGTATTAGCAAAAGCTGGTTTCGGGACATAGGAGAGAACAAGATCTAGATCCGAACTCCTCCTAATTATCACAAAAGAATATATTTATATATAATAGTTACTGTCTATACAAATTGAAAAAGATGATTCAATGGTGAATTGTGCTAATAATAGTAAACATGGTAATGGAGATAGGTTAACGAACCCCGAAAGTAGATAATTTATGAATTGTTTAGATGGTGAATGATGCATGGCGTGAATATATGCCAACATTTGTTGAGGATGAGCATATAGTAGAAGAACCTAATTAGAAGTCCGAGGATTCTTTTATATGTTAGATGCAATGAAGCTTCTGATATACGCATAATGCGGATAAAGGGTGTCGCCTTTATCAACAGCAAGTAGGTTGGTGAAAATAAAATCATATCACAACTTGAGCAAGAGTGCGTGGAAGAAATCGCTGATTTTGTGAACGACATATTGCATGAAGATAACATTGCACTAGTTTTCTCTATGAAATACATAAGATTGTGAAAGGTCTTGGATTACCGTATTTGATAATTGATTTGTGCGAAAACTATTGTATGATATATAGTTTAGAGAGAGAGAGATGATTTAAGTAGCAAAGTTAAAGTTATAGAATACTAGTTTCAAAAATTTTGAATTAATTCCTAATTAAAGAGGAGAAGATAATTCCTTCACCCTTTCAGAATTTGTATCAGTTACAGAGTTGAAAACAATAACTTGTTTAAATTAGGCCAAAGAGACCATCTACGGATCTACCCAAATCCAACCACGGCCGGGCCCGGTTTGAATGCACGTGTGTGGTTTTGCATGGGTATGCTTCTCTCTCCTTTTCTCGGGAGGCTTATAGATTATCTTTGATTAGGGTTTTTCAATGGATAGTAGTATATTAGTAAACTAAATCAGCTCTTATTTGTATTATCTTATTATATAGATATTGATACACATCCTGAATATGATGCTCTTTATTGATATATATAAAACGTACATCCTGTATGCACGTGTTTTATGTGTATATGCGTAATCACTCATTAGTAAGGCTTTTGGTTCTCATAATTCCCAGGAGGGTCATAACTGCAAACGATGATGGTTCCACCATTATTACACCTCGCTTTGCCACATCCAAGTCTCACTGAGTTTCTCCAAACAACCTGAGTATAATGACCACACACTCCGTTGCACGTGTTCGTAGGGTAGTCATAGTTAGCCTTCTCGTCAACCCACAGATTCACGGCGCTGATGCCAGATAAGTCTCCGCTACTCTTGGCCAAGTTCTCCCCGTAAGGACCACCAGAGTGTATGAGATTGCAGTCTCCAGTTCGTTGGTTTGCGTAGCTCCGAGCGAATTCTGCAACCCTCTCGTCCCACTGTATGGGCCCTACACCTACCTCTGCTCGTGCCTGGTTGTGACCATTTACGTAGTCTTGTGAGCTGTCTTGAGCCTTGGAAGGAAGAACAAGAGCTTCTACAAGGGCTACCAAGATTAGCACAAGTCGAGAATAGCCAAGGACTTTCATTATAATGGCTTTGTTATGATATGATCTTGGGGTTAGAAAAGATGATTTATATAAATGTGCGTCTTCGGCGGCCATTAAATTAAATGAAGTGGTAACCA